TGGAGATAAGTTGCATGAGTTACAATTCCAGAATTGCAAAAATATGGAGGAGCAATAGATGGCAGCAAAGAGACACAGAAAACTCTAAGTCTCCAAGTTGCTGTACTAATTCTCTTTTCAGGGGAAGTAGGTTTGTAAGTATCTTATTGTGAGCTATTTAAGTACAATTTAAGTACAATTATGTATCAAAAAGGATTGGTGTTCATAAGAATTGAGAACCTCATTAAAATACAGACTACAAAAATACTTGTGCCTAGATGAATTTAGAAGTCTAATTTGTATTAGCAGATTAATTAAGGTTTATTGTAAATTGCTTTCAGCATAGTAAATTTCTTCCTATGCTTATTATGAAATCTTTACTCTTCTTTGAATACAATACTTTAGAAGGCTATAGATAGGCCAATGTATAATTTATATTAAAGCACTATTCCCATGTTTCAAGGCAGTGTAACTCAGAAGAATCAGGCAGATGAGTATAAATGTTCAAATCTTCCTCCAGGGCTTGAAAAATTCTTTGTATTTTTACCTTTAAAAAGTGAAGAAGGGAAACGGGGAAGAAAAGAGAGAGAGATTTTTAAAAATTGGACTCTTAGGGCTGTTTATTATTACTATAGCTATATCCAAATGTTTAAGTCAGACTAATTCCCTAGAAATATGTCCTGCACAGGCATAATTTCAACCTAAAGAGCTCCTAGTGTCCAAATATGTCATTATATCTCGTGCAATGTGGTAGCTCATAATGAACCAGAGATGTGCAATCTAACTTTCTTCTCTACTTCTTTTCCTCTCTCTAATGAGGCTGCAATTTGTTTACTTCTAGTACTTTTATACTCCAATGACATGAGTAAAGAGGAGTGTCAAGTACATGAACTGTATAGGACCTCTGTAATTCAGACCAGGAATGTCCAACTGTAACCACATACAGGCTGGAAAGCTTTATAATTTTTAATGTGAACCAAGATGAAATTGATTAAACTCAGAAATGTGTTTTTATTATCAGCTTTCAATTAAAGTAAATTTTATTTTATTCGTGTTCTGTCCATTTTTGGGAATGTGGCTCTCAGCATGCTGTTCAAGACCAAATTTGGCCCTCACCGTCCATAAAAGTGGTAAGCGCTTGTACTAAAAATCTATTTTTCAAACGTTCTACTTCAGAACTTTATCATCAACCAACAGTATTTCTAAGAAAACTGGATGACAGGGATTGTCTTTACCTGTTGGGGTGCTTGTCAAACACTGCAGAATATATCTTACACTTTCTTGAAATTGCAGGAGGAAACCAGTATTAGCACTTTTACCTTTCTCCTGATGTACCCAACCTTCACTTCCCTAAGGGCAGGCGATGTTCAGAATAACAGAGTTGGAAGCTCTTCTAGTCCAACCCCCTGCACAAGCAGGAGACAGTATACCATTCTGGACAAATGGCTGTCCAATCTCATTTTAAAAACCTCCCGTGCGGATGCACCCACAATTTCTGAAGGTAAGCTGTTCCAGTGGGTAATTGGTCTTATTGTCAAGAAATTTCTCCTTAGTTCTAGGTTGGTTCTCTCCTTGATTAGTTTCCACTCATTGCTTCTCATCCTGCCTTCTGGTGCTATGTACTGCTAAAGTAACTTTTGCTACTTTTTCAAGAAACATTCATTCTTCCCATCTCTGTGAAAGCATTTGTGCATCTTAAAAGTTTCTCCCTATCTTCAACAATATTCTACCAATATATAAATTCATCTACCTTGCTATAATTTTAATTATGTATGTATAATTTGCAAATGTTCATTCCTGTCAATCACAACTATCTTAGTGTTTGATACATTAATTTTCAGATCCATACTTTTTATTTCATAAAAACTAGACACTTACTGTAAGGAATTTACAGGGCTTTATCACAGTTATCAATTTATTTATACTAATGTTAAAAGCTCTCTATAGCTAAAATCTCTCCATAATTGTAGAATGTGACCTTTAAAAAGATAAATTCTAAACTGCCTGGTTGAGGCACATTACAAATTAATTGCCTTTAATAAGTAATTTTGCCAAGTACCATAATCTATAGAAATTAACCCAAATTCTGTTCCAATTGTTCTTTAACAGATTTTGTACAGTCTACTGAATGCTATTTACACTATTGTCTGAACATTACAGTTGCTAAAATAGCCTATTCTATTGCAGTGATCCCATAGAAACCCACTCTACCATCCAATTATTCTGCAATTACTTAGATTATAACATACTTGTCTTTATAGAAAATCTGGTTAAGTCTCACATAACCTCTGATTTTACAGAAAGCTGATGAAGAATGCTCCTGAAGATGTGGACAGGGTCTTGGGGAGGCTGAATGCAACCACATGTTTACTAGATCCGTGTCCCTCCTGGCTGGTACTGGCAGCCCGGGAGGGGACACGAGCCTGGTTCCAGGGAATTGTTAACGCTTCCTTGCAGGAGGGTATCTTCCCGACGGCCCTAAAAGAGGCCGTGGTGAGGCCCCTCCTCAAGAAGNGAAAGCCCAGATTTTTGCAGCCCAGTTCTGCAAAATTGTCTTGAAGGTACTTGGCTCTGAATTGAAAGGACAAGTTAATGTAATAGTTGAATCATGATGCAATTGAGGAATTAATCAAGTGACTTTATATTGAATTAAATCGTTGCTAAGTACTGAAGAGCCTAGAAAGAATGTCACAATGTTGTTGTTCAGTCTTATTGGAAGGGTGTTTAATACTTCTTTCTACACTGCTATGCTCCCTTTCTAGACCTGTTTGAATCTTGGGGGAGTGAGAGTATTAATAGCAATAAGCACTTAAATGTATATACCGTATTTTTCCATCTATAAGACGCACCCTTGTATAAGACGCCCCCCAATAATGGTACTGGTACTTCTCAGTACCATCACACAAGGGAAGTGACTTCCTCCAATCAGATGGCGCTCTGCGGGCTTAGTCCTGCCCACCCCCTCGGCCGTCAATCACTGTACTGAGGCAGCTTCCTGAGCCGGTGAAAAACGGGTCATAGAAGGCGGCTGGCTTTCTCTCCATCCAGGCGGCATCTCGGGCCAGCGATATCCTCCTGCACCAAGCGGTATGGCAGCGGCATGTAAAGAACCCACACAGACATGCCCTGGGCTGCAGAGGTTACCATTATTTTTTCGTGTATAAGACACTGCACTTGTATAATATGCACCTAATTTTTGAACAGGGTGTTTGCAGGAAAAAATAGCGTCTTATACATGGAAAAATACGGTATTTAGCACTTAGACTCATATACCACTTCACAGTGCTTTACAACCCTCTCTAAGCAGTTTAGAGTGTCAGTATATTGGCCCCAACAATCTGGGTCCTCATTTTATTGACCTAGGAAGGATGGAAGACTGAGACAACCTGGAGCCAGTGAGATTCGAACTGCCAAACTGCTGGCAACTGGCAGTCAGCAAAAGCAGCCTGCAGTACTGCATTCTAATCACTGCACCACCTATTCTGGTACCTATGCACATTTTGTATCAAAGGGGTTTTTTTGAGCTAAAAGGAAAAAACTTTATCTTTTCAATTTAAATCTTGAACACCTATACAGAATTTTTAGATAATTTAGATGGATGTTTTTTCTAAATCTGCTTAGGACAGGACTAGGTAACTAAATATAAATTAAACAATTCCCTAGAAAGCTACAAGGAATTTACATGGTGCATTGATTTTAAAGCATGCATGGGTATTTATATACTGTATAAAGACAAGCACAGTTAAATACAACAGAGAGTTTGACCTATTGATAAAGATTATTTATCAATAGGTCAATAATATAAATAGGTCAATAATATAAAGATATTTTGTCTGATCAGGTCTTGGCTCTTGTGGGAAATGCAGGAGAAAAAAAAATCTTAACCTTTAAAATGTAGAGCAAAGAAACATTTCTTGATGTGTTTTCACGCATATGCATAAAGAATATTACAATATTACATATAATCTTCACTTAACCATTTGAAGTTACATTTTTACAAAGTTATTTGCAATCCATCCTCAAAGTTACAACTGCCACACATACATATATGCATCACAGTCATGTGATCACATTTTAGGCACTGGCAACCAACTTGCATTTATGACCAGCTGCAATGTTCCCACCCTCACATGACTGTAATCTGCAATATTTTTTGGCATTTTTCATCAGAAAATGGAATACCTGCAATAGATACAAATGTTAAAGTATTTTGAAATCAACCAATTTGATTGAATTTCTTTTCCCCAATTGCTTTCATTTTGATAAAAATTGACACTGTTTCTTTGGAACTGAGTTCACATAAAGGAGGTAGCAGACTAGTGTGGTCATTGTATCTATTTGAACAATGAAACCTCTTTTTTCCTATATACATAACTAAATGTGTTCTGGAAGGTTCTCCAGTTTTCTAGATGTATAGCATGTTTAACTCAGCAGGATTTCTAAATGAATGTTTACACAATTTCACTATTAAACTTAGACGTAAATAGACCTTAATATGTATTTAATCTCTTCTTGCCCATCTTTCTACTGTAAAATATATGGTACAGGTAACCATTTCAAACAAATTATAATAATTGACATGTAGGATTCACCCTACAGGCTGTTGGATGAGCACCCCCCCCCCAAAAAAAAATGTCCCAAAGGTGCTTTTTAAAAAATATCCTGGATGACTGAGAATCTCCATAGACAAAAAGATATATATAATTTTTTAATGACCAAAGTCCCCTAACAAGTCTTGTTAGTTGATAATATCACAAGATATTGATGATTCAAGAAACAGGCAATTGGGTTCCGGTAGACCTCACACTGTTGACCCTTCACTAATATCATTTTTCTGTAACAATGCAGTGATACATAAATGTTGTACAACAGTGCAAATTGTTTATATAAATTGTAAATATCACATGACAAAAGCTACTTAAAGAGTCAATGCTATTTAAAATAAAGCTTATCAGCCAAATAATTATAACAATGAAATAATAAGGAGCAATGAATGAATGCTGCCAGATAAAGATGATCTGAATTATACATTTATTACTTGATCTCACAATCTAACATCTGAGATGGTTGTTCTGGCAGGGCTGACATTGCTAGACTTCAAAAGTTTGGACAGACCATTAGATAGCAAATAAACTTTTATGTTCTTTCAAGATAAGTTGCATGAGTTACAATTCCAGAATTGCAAAAATATGGAGGAGCAATAGATGGCAGCAAAGAGACACAGAAAACTCTAAGTCTCGAAGTTGCTGTACTAATTCTCTTTTCAGGGGAAGTAGGTTTGTAAGTATCTTATTGTGAGCTATTTAAGTACAATTTAAGTACAATTGTGTATCAAAAAGGATTGGTGTTCATAAGAATTGAGAACCTCATTAAAATACAGACTACAAAAATACTTGTGCCTAGATGAATTTAGAAGTCTAATTTGTATTAGCAGATTAATTAAGGTTTATTGTAAATTGCTTTCAGCATAGTAAATTTCTTCCTATGCTTATTATGAAATCTTTACTCTTCTTTGAATACAATACTTTAGAAGGCTATAGATAGGCCAATGTATAATTTATATTAAAGCACTATTCCCATGTTTCAAGGCAGTGTAACTCAGAAGAATCAGGCAGATGAGTGTAAATGTTCAAATCTTCCTCCAGGGCTTGAAAAATTCTTTGTATTTTTACCTTTAAAAAGTGAAGAAGGGAAACGGGGAAGAAAAGAGAGAGAGATTTTTAAAAATTGGACTCTTAGGGCTGTTTATTATTACTATAGCTATATCCAAATGTTTAAGTCAGACTAATTCCCTAGAAATATGTCCTGCACAGGCATAATTTCAACCTAAAGAGCTCCTAGTGTCCAAATATGTCATTATATCTCGTGCAATGTGGTAGCTCATAATGAACCAGAGATGTGCAATTTAACTTTCTTCTCTACTTCTTTTCCTCTCTCTAATGAGGCTGCAATTTGTTTACTTCTAGTACCTTTTATATTCCAATGACATGAGTAAAGAGGACTGTCAAGTACATGAACTGTATAGGACCTCTGTAATTCAGACCAGGAATGTCCAACTGTAACCACATACAGGCTGGAAAGCTTTATAATTTTTAATGTGAACCAAGATGAAATTGATTAAACTCAGAAATGTGTTTTTATTATCAGCTTTCAATTAAAGTAAATTTTATTTTATTCATGTCCTGTCCATTTTTTGGAATGTGGCTCTCAGCATACTGTTCAAGACCAAATTTGGCCCTCACCGTCCATAAAAGTGGTAAGCGCTTGTACTAAAAATCTATTTTTCAAACGTTCTACTTCAGAACTTTATCATCAACCAGCAGAATTTCAAAGAAAACTGGATGACAGGGATTGTCATCCAGGCCACCCCAACGATGCCCTTGACGTGATGACCCGTTGCCTGGAGGCCGTACGGGTCTGGATGGGGAGGAACAGACTCAGGCTCAACCCTTCCAAGACCGAGTGGCTGTGGCTGCCGGCGCCTCGGCATAGTCAGCTGACTCCATCGCTGTCTATAGGGGGCGAAATTTTGGCCCCCTCAGAGAAGGCACGCAACT